AAAGAGGAGGAGGGAGGGAAAATCACAGTGTCAGCATCACACGCAGCGCAGCTTGGGCCAAATCGTTGAGGGTGTCCTTCTCCCTCCTCTCATGCCTCTGACATGGGTCCAGGGTCCAGGGACCACTAAGGGGTCGCCATGGGCAGCCGGGCAGATTCTCAGAAGCCAGGGCAGTGCCGCTGGGGAGTCGAGTCAGGGCTGCTCTTCACCCTTGACTCTGTGACCCACTCCCTGAGGCCAGGTCATGGGACCTGGTCCCCATCGGTGAGGATGGCACGGTAATACCTGGAGCTTTTGGGAGGCGAAATAAATAAATTCCAAGTGAAGGGCCCAGGGCCAAGAGGACCCTCGACCAGCGCCCATTCCTCTCCCTGGGAAACTGTCAGCCGGCTTCCAGGGGAGAGAGTCCCCGGGCACCCCCAGCCTCTGCTGTGCCGCCCAGAGCCAGCCGAGGACAGGGCGGCCTCCCTGGGGACAGTGCGGCCTCCCTGGGGACAGTGTGTCCCGTTCCCAGCAGAGTCGAAGGATGTGGCCGCCTGGGAGATGCTCCAGGGACCACCTCTCCCAGCTCCTCCCTGGCCACCCTGGCCAGCGAGCAGCAGAGCGAGGCTGGGCCCCAGCTCCTGGCTTCCGGTAGCCACTCCGGGCCCTAGAAGTGCCCAGGAGAGCAGCGTGGGGAGCAGGTGAGGGCTCAGGAGGCACGAGGCTGGGCCACTTGGGAGCAGGTGACCTTGGGAAGGAAGGAAGCTCTCAGCGCCTCCGTTTCCTCATCTGCCGGGTGGCACCACGCGTTTCTCACGACGACGCTCGTATGAGCGGTCCTGGGTGATGGGGACCTCACAGTGTCCGGCAGGGAGGAGGCCTCCAACAGCTGCCACGCGCCGGCTGCAACAATGCTCGTTTCCAGATCACGGGACTTGTCATCTTCCCCCCCTCGGACTGCACGCTCTTCAGAGTCAGGGATCCCGTCCTGTCCTTCCTCTGTGACTCCCCAACGCGCTGCTGCTCGGGCCCGGCAGGTGCTCCATCAGCACCACGTCACCGCGACCCGAGTTCTCGGCACTCACACACAAGGACGCGCCCGCAGTCACTGTCAAGGTTGCTTTTCAGAAAAGAGTCCTTGGATCAGAGTCAGTCCCGTCCTGTCCTTCCTCTGTGATTCCCCAACGCGCTGCTGCTCGGGCCCGGCAGGTGCTCCATCAGCACCACGTCACCACCGCCCGAGTTCTCGGCACTCACACACAAGGACGCGCCCGCAGTCACTGTCAAGGTTGCTTTTCAGAAAAGAGTCCTTGGATTCAGTGTGTGTGTGTGTGTGTGTGTGTGTGCGCACGCGTGTGTGCGCGTGCCTGTGTGTGCGTGTGAAAGAGACAGACAGCCTCAGAAACGAAGACTGGAAAACACTAAAACACAGAGATGAGGCAAAGCACGCAGACACGCAGCGAGGCAGACCAGCCCGCGGGGCCCCGCAGCGCCTTCCAGGTGCCCGGATGGACACTCATCTGTGCTTAAATGACATGACCTACACTGTGGCTCAAGCCTGTGAGATTTCGGGTGCTTGGCCCCCGACACACAGCTGTGGGGAACATGCATGCGCCTGGATCGTCCACCTCGATAACGTGGGTGCAACAGCCTGGACCTCGAAATATATGCTCCACACCTTTGGCGAAGCTGCCAGAGCTTTTCCTTCCAGGTTAGACACTCCTCCGTGAAGCCCTCAAAGTGAATGGCAGTCATTACTGTTCAGCATTTCCTCTCATTACCTGGGACTCATCTTAGACAAACACAGCTACAAGTATGCAAGCAACCCCAAGCAGCACCTGAGCTACCAAAATAGTGTCACGATGTATATGCATCAAAGCCTGGGAACTTGCCCGGCTGGCGTGGCTCAGTGGTTGAGCATCGACCTATGAAGCAGGAGATCACGGTTCAATTCCCGGTCGGGGCACATGCCCGGGTTGTGGGCTCCATCCCCAGTGTGGGGCGTGCAGGAGGCAGATGGTCGGTGATTCTCTCTCATCATTGATGTTTCTCTCCCTCCTCCCTCTCCATTCCTCTCTGAAATCAATAAATATATATATTTTTTAAAAGCCTGGGAACTTTATACCCAATGTCACCCCAATAATTTTATTTTAAAAGCCTGGATACACCCTAGCCGGCTTGGCTTAGTGGATAGAGCATTGGCCTACAGACTGAAGGGTCCCGGGTTTGATTCCAGCCAAGGGCACATGCCTGGGTTGTGGGCTCGATCCCCAGTGGGGACGTGCGGGAGGCAGCCCATCAATGATTCTCTCTCATCACTCGTGTTTCTATCTCTCTCTCCTTCTCCCTTCCTCTCTGAAATCAATAATGAAATATATTTAAAAAAAAAAAAAAGCCTGGATACTTTATTCACACCATCATGCCCAGTGGCTCACTTACTTATTATGACTCTGGACACAATTTTAGAGCGAGAGTCACGATGGACACTTGATTGACCACCTACTATGTGCCAAACACTTCACCAAATGCACTGCATCTGTCCCCATTGGGTCCTCACAGTCCCACGAGGTAAGGACGGTCACCTCCCCCTTTTACGGCTGAGGGAACGGAGGCCGATGGAAGCTCAGCGGCTTTCCCATCTCAGATGACTGACTAGGCGCCCCAGGACTTGAACCCGGCCGGCGCGCTGTCACTCTACACTCTTAATCAATACACCCCATTGCCTCCGCCGTCACCCTGGCGATCCCATCTCCCGGCTCACAGTGGGTCAGAGGAGTTGGAGGCGGGGAAGTTGCAGCGGCAGGTGCCCTGACAGCTGACGGACGGCTGGATTCGCAGTGAGACAGGGATGAAAAGCTCAAGGAGAAAGGCCTCCATGCACAGCTGTCCACACCCGTCACTTTCGGGGTCAGAGCACGCTACGATATCTCAAGCCCCCGGCAGCACCATGACCCGCAGCTCCGTGCAGCAATTCCCACCGGTGCCGACAGGAGAAGTCAGATGGCGTGCCAAGAAAGACAAAGAAATGAGGGACACCAGCGTGGGGGATACAGGAAAGGGTGGGGGTCTCTCCGGATAGTTCACCCTTGCTGAATACCCTAAGACCGTGGTCGGCAAACTGCGGTTCGCGGGAGATGCTCCAGGGACCACCTCTCCCAGCTCCTCCCTGGCCACCCTGGCCAGCGAGCAGCAGAGCGAGGCTGGGCCCCAGCTCCTGGCTTCCGGTAGCCACTCCGGGCCCTAGAAGTGCCCAGGAGAGCAGCGTGGGGAGCAGGTGAGGGCTCAGGAGGCACGAGGCTGGGCCACTTGGGAGCAGGTGACCTTGGGAAGGAAGGAAGCTCTCAGCGCCTCCGTTTCCTCATCTGCCGGGTGGCACCACGCGTTTCTCACGACGCTCGTAGGATGAGCGGTCCTGGGTGATGGGGACCTCACAGTGTCCGGCAGGGAGGAGGCCTCCAACAGCTGCCACGCGCCGGCTGCAATGAAGCTCGTTTCCAGATCACGGGACTTGTCATCTTCCCCCCCTCGGACTGCACGCTCTTCAGAGTCAGGGATCCCGTCCTGTCCTTCCTCTGTGACTCCCCAACGCGCTGCTGCTCGGGCCCGGCAGGTGCTCCATCAGCACCACGTCACCGCGACCCGAGTTCTCGGCACTCACACACAAGGACGCGCCCGCAGTCACTGTCAAGGTTGCTTTTCAGAAAAGAGTCCTTGGATTCAGTGTGTGTGTGTGTGTGTGTGTGTGTGCGCACGCGTGTGTGCGCGTGCCTGTGTGTGCGTGTGAAAGAGACAGACAGCCTCAGAAACGAAGACTGGAAAACACTAAAACACAGAGATGAGGCAAAGCACGCAGACACGCAGCGAGGCAGACCAGCCCGCGGGGCCCCGCAGCGCCTTCCAGGTGCCCGGATGGACACTCATCTGTGCTTAAATGACATGACCTACACTGTGGCTCAAGCCTGTGAGATTTCGGGTGCTTGGCCCCCGACACACAGCTGTGGGGAACATGCATGCGCCTGGATCGTCCACCTCGATAACGTGGGTGCAACAGCCTGGACCTCGAAATATATGCTCCACACCTTTGGCGAAGCTGCCAGAGCTTTTCCTTCCAGGTTAGACACTCCTCCGTGAAGCCCTCAAAGTGAATGGCAGTCATTACTGTTCAGCATTTCCTCTCATTACCTGGGACTCATCTTAGACAAACACAGCTACAAGTATGCAAGCAACCCCAAGCAGCACCTGAGCTACCAAAATAGTGTCACGATGTATATGCATCAAAGCCTGGGAACTTGCCCGGCTGGCGTGGCTCAGTGGTTGAGCATCGACCTATGAAGCAGGAGATCACGGTTCAATTCCCGGTCGGGGCACATGCCCGGGTTGTGGGCTCCATCCCCAGTGTGGGGCGTGCAGGAGGCAGATGGTCGGTGATTCTCTCTCATCATTGATGTTTCTCTCCCTCCTCCCTCTCCATTCCTCTCTGAAATCAATAAATATATATATTTTTTAAAAGCCTGGGAACTTTATACCCAATGTCACCCCAATAATTTTATTTTAAAAGCCTGGATACACCCTAGCCGGCTTGGCTTAGTGGATAGAGCATTGGCCTACAGACTGAAGGGTCCCGGGTTTGATTCCAGCCAAGGGCACATGCCTGGGTTGTGGGCTCGATCCCCAGTGGGGACGTGCGGGAGGCAGCCCATCAATGATTCTCTCTCATCACTCGTGTTTCTATCTCTCTCTCCTTCTCCCTTCCTCTCTGAAATCAATAATGAAATATATTTAAAAAAAAAAAAAAGCCTGGATACTTTATTCACACCATCATGCCCAGTGGCTCACTTACTTATTATGACTCTGGACACAATTTTAGAGCGAGAGTCACGATGGACACTTGATTGACCACCTACTATGTGCCAAACACTTCACCAAATGCACTGCATCTGTCCCCATTGG